CTCTTATTTAAAAAGGAATAAGGATGTCAATATGTCTTTGCTAACAGGGATTCTGTCAGAATTATTTGTTTAGAATTTCGAAGTCGAAAAATTTTCCCGTGAGAATGAGGATGGAAGGAAGAGTTCCCTCAATGACACTTTAAGGCGGGGATCGAGGAAGTATCCTCCGTTCTGCGGATTTCCCAACTCCGACCATATTATTTAACTTTTATACATAATATAATATATAATTATATAGTTTTGCATGTTTTTTTATTAGAAAGTAATTAATATATTAAGAAATGAAGAGTCATTAGTGGATTTTTTTCCACTATATAATACATTGTTTCACTACTCAAGTACTCAATTCTAAAAAATGCACTCTTACATATAGTGTACACATTGTCTCCTCTTTTTTTCATAATTCCATTTGTCTCCTTCATTCTTCGTCTTCTTTGTTCTTATCATCGTCATAACAATCACTCTCATTTGTTCATTGTGCTTATATTAATTACTCTTCAATTTCGTTATACTTCAATTAGTAACATGTTTTTCATTCAATTAGTAAATTAGTGGTTATGTTTTCTTAACTGCAAGTGGTTTTTTTTATTTTTTATTAATGTGAGATATGTTTTTATTTATATATAAAAACAAGATAGATACAAAATATATATTTAAAAAATAATAATAATAATGAAATATTAGTGTCATAGTTTTAATAGAAAAATATATAACTTTTTAAAGATTCGATCTTCGTGGATCTTCGATTCTCCATAGGGATCTGTGAGGATGGGGATGGAGAAAAATATTTCCCCATAATGGGAATCGGGGATGAGGATCGAGAAAACATATAGGGGCAGGGCATGGAGTGGGGAAACATCCTTCCCACATTCTTTGTCCCGTTGGCATCCCTAAAAGGGAGATCGTGTCATTTCTTAACATTCAAATCTTTCTTATTCAAACTTTACTTTTTATTCTTTTATTAGTGTTTGAGTACTAACCTTGTAAGTCAGTTCCCTTTTTAGCACATCAGAAGTTTTGAACCATTGTAGCAGACTCAGTTAATTTATTTTCTCTAATCATCTCTACTTCCGATACAAAATAATTACTATTTAAAATTTTCTTTAAATTCTCTATTTTATCTGGTTTTTTTTTGTCTTTTTTCACCATCTATTTTGAAATCATCTTTATTTGGCCTTGTTTAAAAAAATGTTGTAACACGAGAATTACAATTATTGCTAACTCATCCATATTACTGTGTTAGATTCACTAAACTTTTAAATTTAAACTTTCAAATAGATTGGCTTGTCAATTTTATGTAAAAAAGTTGGATGATTAATACTCGTGTTTTTACAACTCTTAGTAAATTTAAGGCAAAATAGTTTTTTTTTCCGTCCTATATCTTTAAGGTGGAGTTCATTTTACTCCCTCAATTTTAAAAATGATCATTTTGATTCTTCAACTTTTCAAAACGTATCATGTTATTTTTTTCCGTCTTAATTTCACTAACGATATCAATTCTTTTACTGATGTGTAACCTATAATTTTTGTAACAGACTTAAACGATAGAAAAAATAAACATTAAATTTTATTTCTGGATTTTAATTTAATTCTTCATCTTTTTCCCAAAACTAAAAAATTTAAAATCCACCAAATTATTTATTCATCCAACTTCAGGTCATAAATAACAATTTTACACATGTCTTCAAATTCATCATCTATATTTTAGTTTCATGGAATTAGATTCGAATTTTATTGAATAAAAGATTTGAAATCTAAAATTGCTAAAAAAATTTAAATCTAGTCATGAGTAGGTAGTTAGAACAAACATGAAATTTAGCACAAAATAAAAATTTTCACAAACAAAATTAAATATAAAATTAGGATAAACCTATATTACTGAAACAAGAAACTGGCTCAGAAATGTGACGATGACCCATGATTAAATTGTGTTGTAGAATTTGATCAACAATACAATTTGATCAAATCTTCTCGTAATGATTAATATTTATCCTACAAAATAACAATAAATTATATAAACTTAAGGCATATAATAACATTTTTCTTAAGAAATTATCTGCCTCATAATTCAACAGATTTTTCTCATATTCTCACTATGGTATTAAAACAACAAAAAGTAATATTCATTAAAAATGTAATCAAGAGGAAAAATCAAAGAAGAAAAAGATAAAATGGATGAGAGTAAAATTGGATGTTTCACATTATATTGTTTTTATATCTCCCAATTTTCTTATAGATTGGGGACCTGTTATATATAAGAGAGAAATAAAGAGAATAAATATTTTACCTAAGTAAAAAAATGTTATTGGACCAAGTCAAATCAATAATAATAATAATAATAATAATAATAATAATAATAATAATAATAATAATAATAATAATAATAATAATAATAATAATAATAATAATAATAATAATAATAATAATAATAATAATAATAATAATAATAATAATAATTTTCTTTAAAATATTTTTTTCATATTTGTCACTTAAAAAATTAAGACAAAAGTTATTTAAATTTTTTGAAATATAATCAAAATTAACAACAATCCTTACATATTTCAAAAGTTGAAAAGAAAAATAAAAAAGAATTCCTAAATTAACATTCATGAGTGCAATGCTTCAAATTGGTATAACAAATTATATGAACTGGTCTTGGAATAACAGTATTTAACACACAAATTATATGAACTGGTCTTGGAATAACAGTATTTAACACACAGTAAAAAATTTATGTATCGAGCTATATGAACCAAAGACACTTGACCTATGTTAAAGGTCTACCATCCATATCATACTCCCACAGTTTTTGTTGTTTTGACTTTGTGGTGCGCTAAAAGGCAGTGTGCGTGCCTAGTTATTTTTATGAGTTCTCTAGAGATTTCGTTAATATCTCATACTAACGGCCACAGTCGGCACTCACATAGTTAATTTCATCAAGTGTGTGCTGCAAATTATACACCTCCATCAAGTATATCAAATTCATTAAAAACTATATAAGTTTATCCTCTTAATAATGGATAATAATGCAGTGTCTAGCACTTTCGGATTTGGATCCTCTCCTTTTTTATATATCATGTCATCTCTCATGTTTTTAATCTAACGGTTTAGAATTTATAATGAATAATTAAATAAAAAATCATTTAATAGGAGAGAGAAATGGATAAGTAATTTGTCTTTGTTTTTTTATTTAATTATTCATTATAAATTCTGAACCGTTAGATTAGAAACATGAAAGATGGCATAATATATAAAAAAGGAGAGGATCAAAATCCAGCACTTTCACATCACACCAAAGAAAAAGGAAAGAAACAAAAATTAATTATTTTTAAAATCTTTTTCATAGGATCTCCTCAGGTTTCCATCGCTTATTAATTTCAATTGACTTTATTCCAATTTTTCTAGATGTATGTACAAATTTGTTTCTTCCCAGAACTTTGTCTGACAATCGACTAGAATCACTTTAATCTAACATCACATAAATACAAGATATTACATATTTATTTAGCAAGTCTATAATAATAGGCTTGTTCTCCGCAATCAAATTATACAAATCTCCTTACCCCCCCCCCCCCCCCTCTCTCTCTCTCTCTCTCTCTCTCTCTCTCTATATCTATATATATATATATATATATATATATATATATATATATATATATATATATATATATATATATATAAATAACGTATCATATTGAAAATGTCATTTTTATGTGAGAAAATAAGAATGAATTTGAACTATTAGATTTTAAAATAAATGGTAGAGAAGATGTGTCAGTATTTTTTCTCTCTCCTCCATCATTTATTTTAATAATGGAAGAGAGGAAAAAACAAAAACAACAAATAATCTCCATAATTTATTTTAAAATCTAATGGTTCAGATTCATTTTTATGTTCTCACATAAAAATAAAATTTTCATATAATACGTTCCTTTTATATATATTTACCCGAAATATCAACTTTTGTATTTCCCTTGTTTCTCTCTGTCATATCATAAATTTATCTCCAAAAATTATTTTATATATTTTTAATAAAATCATTAAGTAATATTTGATAAAAAAAAATAAAATATATCAAATCATTTTATATAAATCTAGAAAATAAAATATATAGAAAAAATTCACATTAATGCTAGTAAGCACTCATAGTCAATAGGGAATTGAGTAAAATTAGCACTATTATTTCCTTAATTAATAAAGATTGTTATTTCATAATATAAACTCAAATAGAAATAGAAATACTATATATTTTAAAATTATTTTAAGACTCATCTGACTCTTAAGATTGACATTAGTAAGGCGTATGATAGAGTGAATTGGGGCTTCTAGAGAGGTATGCTATTTAGGACGAGTTTTGCATATAGGTGGATTCATTGGGTTATGATGTGTGTTACTTCGGTTCACTATAATATTCTTGTTAATTTGGATCGAGTAGGACCAATTCAACCAGGAAGAGGACTGAGGCAAGGGGATCCACTATCTTCTTACCTTTTTATACTAGTCTCAGAAGGACTTTTAGCTCTTATATAAGGAGCAGTGATGTGTGGCGATATTCATGGGATCCAGATTTGCAGAGGGGCGCGTAGTGTATCCTACATTCTTTTTGCTGACAATTGTTTTTATTCTGCATGGCCAATTTAACTGAAGTGAGATATCTTATGAAGTTTCTCAACGCTTATGCAGGCGCTTCAGGTCAAAAGATTAATATGATTAAGTCTAAAGTGTTTTTTAGCTGTAACATGAGTAAGTCGGCACATGAGGATCTTGCTAGTATTATGGGAGTTTGTCACGTACTGGGAACCAGAAAGTATTTAGATTTGCCCTCGATGATTGGCAGGAGTAAAAAGGCTATTTTCTCTTTTATCAAGGATCGTATTTGAAAGAGATTAAATTCTCAGAGAGGTCTGTCGTTATCAAAAGCAGGGAAAGAATTTATGATAAAATCAATCTTTCAAGCAATATCAGCGTATATAATGAGTATCTTTATCCTTTCAGATGCGATGATTAATGATATTGAGAATATGTTGAATTCTTTCTGGTGGGAAAGAGGTAATCGTAACAGTGGAATACAATGGATGTCATGGGAGAATCTAGCTTGTATTAAGAAGGAAGGTGGGTTGGGTTTCTTGGATTTTAAAGCCTTTACAATGACTATGGTTGCTAAACAAGGTTTGCATCTGTTGACAAAACCCCATGCTCTTGTATCCAAAATATTCAAAGTAAGGTATTGTTCTATAACTTTTTTCTTTGATGTTAATCTTAGCTATAATCCAAGTTTTGTATGGCGGAGCATTTGGAAAGAGAGCGAAGTTTTAAATTTAGGTTGTAGGTGAAGTATTGGGTATGATAGTCATATCATGGAAATGAATGAACCTTGGATTTGGGGAACTAGAGATGGTTGTCTAAGTGGACCCCAAAAGCAAGGGGCGTATGATGTTATCATTAAAAATATTATGTTTCCTAATGTAAAACAATGGGATATGATGGTCATAAGAGATTTGTTTTACTATGAAGATACTTAAGAAATTTTACAGGTCCCATTGTTTAAGGATGTTAAAGAAGATATGATGGTTCGAAAAGAATAGAAAAATTGTGCTTATAGTGTACGATCTGGGTATAGAATATGGAGGAGTTTGCGTATGAGTCATGCTAATGGGAAGGGGGATGAAAATTGGTGTAGCCTCTGAAATATTAAAGCTCCACCTAGAGTTAAAATCTCTTGTGGAGATTTTGTAGGGGTTGTTTACTGACTTGAATTAGACTCCAACAACATTATGTTCTTTGTCTGCCAATTTGTCAGCTTTGTGCGAATAGTATTGAAGATGACTGACATCTATTTTTTGGATGTAACGCGACTAATCAATGTTAGAGGAAAACAGGTTTGTCCATTCTTATAGACTCTTGTTTATATTCTTTAATGATGTTAAGTCTCTTATCTTTGATATCTATAATAAGGAGGATAAGAAGGTTGTTGGAAGAATTGCAGTTATGATAGATGTGATATGGAAGAATGTAAATGATCTTATATGGCATAATGAGTGTGAGGAAGCTTCTAAACTTGGTTTCCTAGCATTTCATAGGTGGAATGAATGGTTTACGACTCATCAAGTTCATGATATCGAAAATGGCCACCATCACACTACAATTTAGAATCCGCCAACTGTAGGGTGGTTGAAATGCAATGTTGATGAGGCTTTTAATAAACAGTGTGGTACTACAAATAAAGGTTGGTGTGTGTGATAACTTTGGGAATTTTATTATTGCAGATGTAACTTAGGACTCAGGTACCCTCTCCGTCATTGAACAAAAGCCTTGGCCCTTAAAGAGGCAATTTATGGAGCTATAGCTTTTCACCTGGAAAATGTTATTTTCGAAACTGACTCCCAAAGGGTAGTTCAAGCTACCCAATCTAATCGCAATGGTGAATCTGAATTTAGTTTTATTATTCTGACCATTATAAGGTTGTTACATGTTTCCCTCGACTTTGAGGTTAAGTCTATTAAGCTCCAAGCGAATTTGGTTGCCCACTCTCTTGCGAGGGCAGCCAATTCTTGGTCTAGGTGTAGTCTTTTTAATTTTATTCTTCCCTGTATTGAACAACATTTGATTAATGAAATGTATTGTATTTTCTTTGGTAAAAAAATATATCTTAAAAATCTTATAGATAACTTATCTCATGATATCGAATATATATTAATATTTAAATTAAGAATTGACTTAAATAGTCATTTGGTCCCTGTAAGTTAGCGAGAGTTTGAATTTAGTCCCTATATCTTTTTTTCGTCCGAGTCCTTATATCTCACTTTTGTGTTGACGTTAGTCCTTGGAGTTAAATTTCTATTTAAAAAAAGTTGACTAGACAAACGGTGCAGACGTGGAATTATGTTATGTTTATTTTTATTTAACAACATACTTAAGTGGATATTCCTTTATTTCCCACCAAAAATTCAATAGTGTTCAGAATTTTGCTTTTGCATTTAGTCCCTGTAAATTAGAGTTTTTTATAAGAAAATAGAAACTAAAACTTGTGTGAGGGAGGAGACGAAGGAAGGAACAAAGAGGTGAAATGTTGATTTCAAGACCAAGTAACACAATCGTATATTTGAAACTCAATCACATATATTGTATCTTCTTTCTTCATTGTATCGATGAGTTAGCTCTGTTCATTGTGTCTTCTTGAAACTTGTATCTTATGGAGTTCACTTTGATTTTTCATTATGGGGATAGATTTGATAAGGATGGTTTAGTATATTACGCACGAGGAAATGAGCATGCAATAGAAATTGATCCTGATAGGTGGAGCTTATTTGAAGCAACAGGTATCTTGAAAGAGTTAATTGAGCTTGAGCATTCCGAGTAATGGTTATGGTGGTATAACAGTGATGATGATAGGTATAGTAGAATGGTTAGTGATATAAATGCTAATAAGGTATATCAATATGCCATGGAAATGAAATTTTCAGTGGACATATATGTTGAGCATAAAGGTAAACGCAATGCACAAGAAGCTGATGTAGGTGATTTTCAAGAAGATGATGTTGATTATGTTGAACAAGATGAAGTGGGTAATGATGTTGGTGGTGTTGAAAATGTTGAAGAAGGTAATGTTGGTGGTGTTGAATAAGTTGAAGTAGATATTGTTGGTGGTGTTGAACATGTTGAAGAAGGTAATGTTGCAAGTGTTAAACAAGTTGAATAGGTTATTGTTGGTGATGTTGAACAAGTCGAAGTATACGATGTAAATGAGGATAGTAAGGAAAGCGAGGACAATGAGAATAGTGAATTTGAAGCTAATGGTTTATCATTTGATGATAGTGAGGATGAGATGCCTCTTGGGTTATGTCGCGGTGAGAATCAGATATCAAGCTATTAATTAACTTGAATCACAAATCATAATTCAACACTGATCTTTAATTTATCCAAGGGAAGGAAAAAAGAACGAATAATCCAAAATATGCAATGCAATGCAAAGCAAGGGAGAATATAAGGTTCGGGGTTGGTTATACCTAGGGAAGGTGCTAGCATCCTAAGTATCTGTAGTACTATACAGGAACCTCTTATTTTATTGTGTTATTTTGTTATTTGTCTGCTAAAGGGTGAAAAGGTAAAGGGAAACCTAGGGTGTTATTTCTAAATATGCTCGCCAAGACATCGCATCTCGTGCTTACGTATCTTGACGGGAATGGAATCAGAGCATTCGTAGTTCCCCTTAATAAGGGTGAGGAACTCTTGACTGTGGTCAAGGTTCCAAAGGGAAGAGGTAAGTGTCTATGGAAGAACACCTACGTAGAGTTAAGAAACCTTAAACCTAAGGATAAGTTAAAAGGGAGGTAAGTATCCATGGCAGGACACTTACGTAGAGTGCGGCGACTCTAATTCTAAGGCTAGAATAAACGGGAAAGGAAATATCCATGGCAGGACACTCACATAGAATATGGGGACTCCGATTATAAGGCTAGGATAAAAGGGGAAGGACCTAAGGTTAGGCTAAATATGACATGACAGTCAACAAAAGGGATCCTCCTTTGGAATCAGGTATAGGCCATTAATACGAGAAAATAGGATTAAGTCATGAAAGTGATAGACACAAAATAAGAATCAGGCAAAGAGAAAATAATATGACAAAAAATGCATGCATTAGATGGATAAAGACAACATAATGAACAAGGCATAGCCAATACAAGGATCGAGATTAAATCAAGTATCATCAAGGAAGATATTCACAAGTAACTAACAAGAAAATTTGATCAAGATCTAAACCCAACCAATGTTAACATCGAAACCAGTTCAAAAATCAATGTTAGAATTAACACCAGAATTTAGTTAAACTAGCATTAACATCACGATTAATCCGAATCAGCATCGAAGTTAACATCAACATTAGAATCAACATTTAAAAATCAAATTGTCATAAAAATCTAATTAATTCACTAATAATAAATTAACACCTAAATTAAAACCAAACTGAACTAAATTAATAAATAAAAACAAAAGTGAATAAATAAAACAAGAAAATAAAAATAAATAAAAAGGAAAAGAAGTAAAAAAATTATATAAAAAAAAAACAAAAATAAAATATATGGGCCGATGGGACTAGGCCTACACGGACCCATATCAACAACAACTGAGTAATGCACGAAGGTGAAGGGAACTTACATGTCGGAGTTTGTCCGATGCATCTTCGACGGTAATGCGAATAAGATGAAATTTGGGCTCTATATAGGTATGGCTCAAATACCTTTCCTCTTTATGCAACAATTTCTTTTGTGAGCGTGTGGTAGTTGTTGTTATTGTCTCTACTTTTGCAATGTATACACTTACCCTTTGTAATGTGTGCGAATGATTCTCTTGCGTATCCTCTTTGTTTTTTCCAATGCATATATATAGGACTAAAAAATAGACAAGAATGATAATAACAATTAATACAATTTTCTTATAATTTTTATGATAAGACAAGAATAAAAAGAATTAAAAATCATGTTTTTGTGTTTTTTATGATAAGACAAGAATAAAAAAAAATAAAAAATATGTTTTTGTGTTTTTTATAATAAGACAAGAATAAAATGAATTAAAAATCAAGTTTGTGCTTTTTATAATAAGACAAGAATTAAAAGAATTAAAAATCATTTTTTTTGTATTTTTTATAATAAGACAAGAATAAAAAGAATTAAAAATAATGTTTTTGTATTTTTTTTATAAAAAAGGAAAATATTAATAAAAAAATTAAAAATAAAATTAATTAATAAAAATTTAAATTTAAATTAAATATCTAATTAAATCTGAATAAAATAAATGATTATTTAAATAAAAATAATAAAAATAATTTTTAAACGAAATAAAAAGTCGGGCAAAAAAGTGCTCGAAAAAATAAAATAAGCACACCAAAATAATCAGCGCAAAATAAACATATTGGAAAAATACAACATTTGGTCAGATTTTGAAATAAATTTAGGCCGATTTGTCTGTAAATCCAACCAATTATTCTGACTGACATTTCGGACACTATGCAAGATGAAGTGCATGTTATGCTATGCAGACGATGCGAAGCAAAAAAAACAAAATCTTATGGTCAAAAATTAGGGTATAACAGTTGCCCCTATTTAAGTTTCTTCTATCCGGAGATATGGAGATTGAAATTTTCGTCTCGACGTGATAGGAGAGACTTAAATACAAACATGCATAGTTTTTGGTCCTAAGATGCCACAAGATGCACATGATATGAAATAATATGAATGCAAGACAAGGATCATGTGGGGAATGATGTCACAGGGGATAAGTGTATACTGGAAAAAAAGGGTACAGTGATTAGAGGTTTTGTCATAAATGCATTGAG